GGAGGAAAGTTAGACTGCAGAGAGTTTGGACAGTTCATCTCGTAGATCTGTTGTTCACTATCAACAAAAGAAAAGTTCGGTACACAATGTTTAACATTTTCTTACGGTTATGAAAAACATGAAAAACAATGTTACTGACAAGAAACTGTTTTAATTGTACGTAAGATCACAGTTGAATAATAAAAGAAAAGGGGACTATGCTGACAAAGAGGTTTACCAGTTGAAAAAAAAGATCAGAAACTTAGACAAGAATTCAATAATGTGGAAGAGTCTGAAGCCTGTTAGTCTTTTGTATGTCTTAGTGTTAAACCTTACACCTTTGGGAATCAGCCACTTCCGAGTTTCAACTTTTAATCTGAATGGAGCCAGAGATATGAGGAAGAGAATCAGTGTGTTTGAATTAATGAATCTAAAACAGGGAAGTTACAGTACTCTGATTAACTTGAGGCAAACCATTGGTGCAATAGCAATTCTTTTTTTCAAATACTTTTTCACCAGAGTCATATGAAATTGAAAAGGTGGTGAAAGGTAGAATAAATGAGGTGAACACAAAAATAGGAGTGTTTTAATATTGGCTTTGTTTGTGTATGCTCCAAATGCAGGACAGGAGAGGGCTTCTTCTTATTCAAGCTTGAACATGTTTTATGTAAATGTGAGGATGACAGTGTTGGGAAAGTTAATTCCATAAATGTAATATAGTTCATATTACAAGTCACATTTGTAAGAAAATAATAAGTTTCTTTACAATATTACATTTACAGTTACATTTGCTAAAATAAACATTAAGAACATTACAAATGAAGGTTTGCAATATTTTTCCATAAATAGCTGAATCCCAAAAATGTGATAAAGAATAATTAAACAAGAAAGACCTTAATATGGCCTGACTTTTTTGTTTGGCAACTACTTAATAGCCAAAAAGCATTTTTAGTACATGCATATAAATTCAGGCATCAAGGGGTTAAATAAACTATCTATGATAACCTGTTCATATTTTGACAGTACTACATCATTAGAGTTTTTTTACCTTGTCACTTCGTCGAACAGGGTTTTTTTTTTAACTTTTGATATGCCGGCAACTAAGCTGTAGAAAAAAGGCCACCAGCCTTCTCAGTTCTCCTGGGTCAAACATCATCACAGCTGGTCTGCAGAAATTCAACTTTAGTTTTTTAGATTTGCTATCATCTTCTGACTTCTTGCTTCAGGATGCTGTGCACTCTCTCCAGGGGATTCTTGAGGTTACTTGTGGTATTTTTAGCCATAGACAGTTCTCTTGCCTACCTGCCTGCACACAAAGTGCATTCTTCCTTTGACTTAAACCTATCTTGGTTTTCTTGTTTTTAAAATCATCTTCTTCTGTTGTTTTAAAACCGTCTCTTACTGATATAAAGCAACACCCCCCCAAAAAAAGTCTTTTTCTCCTCTTTATTTAAGCTGTTGACTGTGGGCCACTCAGCTCAGATTGCAATGCGTTACCCACCTTAATAACTGTAATAATAATCTCATTTTAGCTTGTATCGTGTTATATTACTCTGTTACTGCTGAATGTAATATATAACTGACGTGTCAAGAGAAGTGTATATTGAAACATATACATTGGGCAGACAATATAGATTGGCCAGAAGTACAGATAATTATTTTTCTGCAGCCAGGTTGGACAGAATATACAGTTTTAGACATAATCTGGGTGTAATATTCATCTTGATTCGGTTTCTTATATTGTTTTCATTGCAAATCTTAAGCATTGATCTGCTTATTGGCATTTTAATACTGTTTTGTTGTTAGTTGTCAAGTTTAATAAGGAATTCAGTTTTTCCTTTAGATTCACCAAACTAGAAAATATGATTTTGTATTTTTAATGCTGTGGTGAAATTGTGGTAAAACTGAAATCTAAGAATTCTGTGAAATGAAATGGGCTTCTGGACAATTCACAGGAGATGAGTTTGTTTTGAAAACCTCAAGTCCAAAAAAGTCTAAAAAAGCTTTAGCTGACTTGCTGGGCTCAAAAACAAGAGGGAGATTCATTTTAATGCAGATTCCACAAAGCTGCTTTGATGGACATGTATAGAAACTTTCCTCCCGGTTGGAAAAAAGGAAAGACAGGGCAAGATCTTCCATGGTTTAAAATCAGCTGCGAGGGATCTTTTGACTGCAGATGGTGACATCAGGCAGTAGTGGGAGATATATATGCTGAACTGTATAGTTCTGAGTACGTTTTGAACATTGTGCAGGGAACTCCCGAGGGATTACTGGTCAGACCTCTGCTTGACGCCATGGAGATTTTTGAAGAGAGCTTTATCGACAGATTTCTACCTCAGAGCCACAAGAGAGCAGTTCTCACTTGCTGCCAAAGTAAGGGGATCTTTAGGAAACATCTCGGGTTGTACTGTACTTGGGGGATTGGGACACAGAAAAACTGGGAAGGAGTGTTGGAGAGGATGGAAGTAAGGTTAGCAAAATGGAAATGGTTGTTGTCACAAATGTACTATAGAGGTAAAGCGCTTCTATAATATTGCATAAAATTACATGTTTGGCACCCCTTTTGGATGTACTAACAAGAATTCAATCTTGTACGTTAAATTCTTTTGAGGGATAAAAAGAATTGAGTATCCCAATCGAGTACCTTGCCAAAGGAGGAAAGTGGACAGGGACTGTTTCATCTAGAGCAGAACTGCAGCTTTTAGACTACAGTTTATTCATTTATATCTTGACAAAGATGTTTTATGAAACACAATAACAACCATCATACGAAGAAGAGTGGAAAGTTTTGGCTTAGATGTTTCTTTGTTTTTATAGAATTTCAAAGTAAGATGTTCTCAGATGTTCTAAGAATCTATCTATCTATCTATCTATCTATCTGTCTGTCTGTCTGTCTGTCTGTCTGTCTGTCTGTCTGTCTGTCTGTCTGTCTGTCTGTCTGTCTGTCTGTCCAAGGAAAAGAATTTGGTCAGAAAAAGTTGGCCGGCACAAGATTGGTTAAAGGGCGATATTTTGAAGGTTTTTTTTATTTTCTTTTTTCCCCCCGTTTTAAAAGGCAAACAGCACAGGCAGAAGGAATGTGTTTAAGAGGATGCAGCTCTGAGAAAAAAAGAAGGATGAACCGAGGGAGATGAATAGAAGTTTGCAGAAGGGTTGGAATGGACATATCAGAGAGATGAAGCAGCGGGGGAGCAAGTAGCCTAAAAGGAAGAGGGAGCAGAGGGGGAAGATGAAGCAGGACATGGAGATAAATGCCAGAGAGCTCTGGAGGGGCTCTGAGTGTTCAAGCTTTGTCTGACATAGGCTTGTAATGCTGCAGCCTCATGTCCCATGCTCTTTCAAGTGGGAAGTAGAAAGGCCTTCATTTTAGCTGCTGTCCCATTGAAGTACACTCTCATTAAAGCTAACCTCATGCCTCTTCTCTGATCCTTGGGCACTGCACAGTGAGGCCGTTTAAATCCTTGACTCATAGCCTCAGCACTAAGGTCACTGCTGAGTATTTATGTGTTTATGAGGAGGCAGCAAAGTGATAGAAACTTTATTATGAAATAGTTTGAGGGTAAAATCCTCACTGCTTATACTGACACAACACTTTGCAAAATTAATAACACCTTTTGAACTTCTATTTTATGTTCTATAAGCACAAGCTAATTGGGGCAGACTGTGAGAGACCAACCAAAAATGGTGCATCACTTAAGGAGAACATAAAATATGGATACATTTGTTTTGTTTTTTCTCTACTACCTTTAAAGAGGAGAACATCTGTGAACATCAGTGTTCAAATCTCTCCACAGATTCCCAAATGGATTTATATCCTGACTTGAGAAGGTTTTTTCAACAAATAAATATGGTTTGATCCAAACATTCTATTGCTGGTCCTTGTTCAAGGTGGTGGTCCCTCTGGAAGGTTATCCACCAGCCCAGTTTCAGGTCTTCTATAGCCTCTAACCACTTACAGTATCCTCCCATTATTCCTGACCAGTATTTCTGTTCTGCTAAAGAAATGCATCCCCACAGAATGATGTTGACACTTTGTTTCCCAGTGGGATGTTGTGTTCAGGGTAGAGTGCTCTGTGCCCCCTTTTCCACTGCTTCTCCTGTGGTTAGCCACACTTAATGAGAAATATTAACCAATCAAGGGGGTCTTGATTAATACCAACCTCAATCTAATATCAACTGTTCAGATCTGTACATTTCCTTAGAAACAATCAAACATAGCCCTGAAACTGACCATGCAGTCATCTGTGTAGAAAAAAGAAATTGTTGGAAATAAATCCAGCTCTGATGCCAGCTGTAGATCAAAGGAGGCTGGGGGCCAAAACTCCAGCTGTTAGTTAACCAGTGGAAAACCAACAGGTTCTGAGTAGAATGGAGTGGTGCTGTGAGGAATGGGTAAAGCCTATGGAACACAATGTTTTACATGAAGAAGAAAAGCTCATTTTCAGTCTGTAGATGAAGAAAGATGACAGAGACCTTCTTGACAGACTTTAAGCTGTAGCTGCAGTAATCTACTGTATGGTTCTATAAGCTATTGCCTCAGGGGGTATTTACTCAGGCTCAGCACACCTATCAGATTTGTATTTGTAAAACAATGTTTCTTGTAAAGAAGGCTTTACAGATGCATGTTGTGTCTCCTGGGTCTTCGTGGTTGTATTGCAATTTTGTCATCAAGGGTTTTGCATTTTACTGCCATTTATGAATCTGCAACAGTTTTGTGTGCCTTCATAATATCAATCAAAATTCTTTGTAACAATATGAAAAATCAGCCACTTATTTTATGCAATTTTTATATGTCTACTTAAAAGAAAAAAGTTTCTTGTAATTTTTTTTTTTCTGTGTAATTGAGCCTTATTTGTCAGATACTACAAGATTTGGCTTTCCGTTATTTTTATTGTGTTGTGGGTCTTTCTGACTGCTTAGGGTCTAATGTGCAGCTCTAACATTCTCTCTGTTTGTGTCTCTTTCTCTAACCCTCATGATCCTGCTGATGGGAAATCTGTGGACTCTGCTGGCAACGACAGTCTCATGTGAGTTTGAGCCCTTTGACCAGGATGCTTCTGTCATGATAGTACAACTGTCAGAGAATAAAACTACGAGGCAGCTCAATCATCAAACCATATTCTTATAAGTTAATTTGTATATATGAGATATTTAACAAAACTGTTGTTTGCTATATATACAAGCAAACAGGCCATAATCAAGCTTATAATGTTTGCTTTAACGTAAGCTCATCATTGTTTTAGGCATTTTGCACCATCATTCAAAGGGTGTGGGAAAAAAAATTGATTTGGCGATATATATAAGTTGTGATTTTCAGCTGCCCTATATAATATCTATCGTTCAGTTCCTAGTATCTATAAAAATAAAAATAAACATTTTTACTTAAAAAATTAGGGAAAATGAGCCACCATGCTCTTTTAGACACCATCGTGGAGCCCTTTCACTGTGCGGCGCAGCACCATATCTGTAGATGAGAGAGTTACTGTGGAAGATGTGGACTGACTCAAGCCCCAAACAACATGGATACCAAAATAACTAAATGATCAATATCTTCTGATAAACATTTACAGCATGTGCTTTTTTTATCTATAAATTTAATATTTGTTAGCTGGGAAAAATACCACAATATATAAGGATATTGCAGTATCATGATAATATTGTGTTGTGAACCAAGTATTATGACATATATTGTATTGCAACACAAATGCCAATACTCCCCCCTATTCAAGACACACAAAGTTACTTTTAATAAAATACGCTTAAGTTTTAGTTGTGCATTACTTTTTATTTTACCTCTTTATTATACAAGGAACCTAAGCGTGAATCCATGGAAGGGAGTTTACTGATGTTTAAGCTGTTGATAACTCCGTTTGTGTTTTCAGGTAATTTCACCAGCGAAGCCAATGAACCAAATCTTCCGGCTGAAAGGCCCTGGTGCTGACCAAGATCCCAAAGGTCTCTTCACCATTGACATAGACACTGGAGATGTGTCAGTCAGCCGCTCACTGGACCGAGAGATCATCGACTCTTACCTGGTCAGCATGTGTGTGTGTGTGCTCCTTTGTGAAATCTATCTGCTGGTGCTGCTTGTATGAATGTTATCTCCTGTCCTTTCTGCCCTCCTTAGTGCACTTTATGCTACCAATTTTTTATTGTAGGTCACTTTCTCTTTTCATTAGCTCTGCGTTCTTCTCCATTTATTTACCTCCACTCTCCACTCTGAGAATTTATTCATGAGGATTTGTTGGCCAAACTGATGGTTATCATACGAGGGTAAAGAAAAGTTGTTATGGAATAGTTTGTGAAAGCGCCCACTGATTTGCAACCACACAATCCAAATATTGGCAGTGCTGTTTAGAAAGGTCTTTGGTTGAACCAATCCTATCAGAAATAGGTGATTTATTCCTTGTCAGAAGCAAGATTTCCAGCTTTAAGAGCCTGCTTGGTTTTGTGCCTGTATGGTTGTCTATCTAATAAAGCCATTACCCTGGAAGAAACAGAGAGAGATAAGGTGAGACAGTCTCCTTTTTAGGGCTACCAATTGACCTTATCTTGTTTTCAGAAAGTTACTGTTAGAGGACATTCAGCTGGGTGCAAAATAAGTGGGTATTTGTAAAAACACAGAAATAAGTGGCCCTGTAAATACCAGCAGATTTGAGGAGAGGGAATGGTGGAGGAGGTAAAAAGAAGGCAGATAAACAGCTGTTCATCATGTTTTGTTCATTTGTCTTCCAATGTTCAGCTGCTTGTTTAAACCTTCTAACCCTCTTATATATTTCAATATGACACATCCTCCAGATATGAATCATGTACATGCATGTGTAAATCCAATTTCATTACCCCTCATGCCAGGACCTACTCATACATACACATATTTATAATGACACACACTATATTTTAAACATGACAAGAAAATGAAACCAGCCTTAATCCTTCAGCTTTAGGCATCATAAATGTTGGAGTAATACGGGAAGTGATTTATGTGATCAGATTTGTTTAGCTCAGTCCAACAGGTTCCCCTACCTTTGCTTCTTTTGGGCTAAGATCTAGTCAGTTGTCTGCGCAGACAGAGTTTTGCTTCCCCAAAGGATGATATAAAAGTATCAAGTAGGATATCAAAAAAATATAAAGGTAAAAAAAAACATATGCAATGTAGCTTATGATGATGAAAACAAAAGGACAGATATATTGCTTCTGGATTTTACATTTTTTGGTCCTCCTTTCCCCTTCTGAAGTATTATTCTTTGCGGCTGTTTAAACTCAGCTCAGCTCAAGCTGTACAGAAATAAAACCGTTTTTTAAACCATCTTCATTAGAGATCCAACACACTTCTCTCAATACCAAAAAGATCAACAATCAACAACTTAATGCTAGAATATAACTGAGGCTGTTTCAGAATTGATCGTTAGACATTTGTGAACTGAGCAAAAACATAGAACAATTTACACTTAAGTAGGAATTATTTTATAACCTGCTGGATTTCTAAACTAAATGCTCCCACGTGAACTTTGAGTACTGTGCGCACTCTATGAGTCTTGTGGACAGTACTCCTGTTTGGTGTCATAAATATAAAGCTTTTGTTAAAAGAAGGCACTGTCTTTACACTTTGAAGCTTTCTCTCTCCAGTTCTTTTTCCTGAGAAGAGATCACTGGGGACAAAGTCTTTAAATAACACATCATAACATCATGAGACGTTATGGAAGTTACATGGTGATGTGAATACTAGGTGACTAAGTCCACTTACGTGTGTGTGAAGTTTAAATAAAAAAAAAACAACAAAATTTTAGGGAATTCTCGCCATTTATGGAAGCTCATTGGTAGAATTCCCTTATGACAGAAAGAAGGCCACAATTCACTCCATTTTATCATCCGGAGGGGGGAATTATTTAATTACATAACCGAATTCATACAGCTGTCTTAAACACTTCATACATTCAGCATTGCATCGTCACATTTAAGTTATCCTCCACCTTCAGTCCATTCTAGGGGGCATTTATAGTTTCCACATCGCACTGTGTGGATGCACATGCGACTGGATGCTCTTCCTGGAAATCTCTTAGCTTATGACCTGATTGCGTGCGAGTCAGCCAGTAAGAATCCTGTTTTTGCCAAGCAGAAGATTGAGTCTTTTAGGGCCTGGTTGGCTTGTAGGATTACGGAAGCAGCAAGAAGGTATCATAAGTCCAAGTTTGTCGTTGCTCTCCAGGTTGCAGAGGGAAAACCTCGGGGCCTCGAATGAGTTTGGAGAGGCCATGGAGAAAGACTATTGGCCGGCCTTATACAGTAGCAATTCTGGCAAACCCTTCAGCACCTCCAGAGGGAGAATCTTTGCTTTGATAACTGTTTCCGTGGGTGTAGAGTGCTGACCTTGAAAGAGGACATTGTTGGATGGTGAAAGGAATACCTTGAGGATCTCCTCAATCCGGCTGATACGCCTTCTATGATGGAAGTAGAGACTGGGTGCTCGGGGCTGGATTCATTCATCAGCAAGGCTGAAGTCTATCGTGTCACATTTATGTCAAAACATAAACAGCCTCAAAAGTATATTAAACTACTTTTGGGCTTGAGTTCACCAGCATAAAAACATCAACAGGAGTCAGTTTAGGTGGCTCTGATATATTTTTTGGATGCCTCCTGGACACTTCCCTTGGGAGGTGTTCCAGGCATGTCCCATGGGGAGGAGGCCCAGGGGATGATCCAGGACACACTGGAGGGACTGTGTGTCTCGGCTGGCCTGGGGCTTCCCCCAGCAGACCTGAAGGAGGTGACTGGGGGGAGGTACCGGTAAGTTAGACTGCTATCCCCACAACCCGGTCCAGGATAAAGCAGAAGATGACAAGTATGAGGAACTTTTCAAACATTGGCTGTTGAGGGTTTTTTGTCTTTTTTAACAGTTTTTTTCTAAGAAAACAGTTCCCAAAAAATTTTTTTACTTTCAAACATGAATGAAAATCTGAGCTTCACTTGCACAATCCCCCTCCAGACCATCCTCTGCCCCCTATCACCCTTTCCCACACCCTATTCAACTCACTGAAAATGCTAAGGTTCACACAAAAAGAAGAGCAGCACTCATTAAATCCATACCTACTTTATACATGAAAAAACACTATAATCCCTGGTCTTGAAAAAGTCAAGGGATGGAATATGTGGGTTAGAATTTAGACCCTCCTTCATGGAGATTAAGCCTTAGTCCCTATCTTCCATGGGTTAATCTTGTTGCTGTTCAGGTACTTAGTTGATGGAATCAAATTATCACCAATAATCATAATTCAGATGGTTTGTTGGCAGAGTAAGCGCTTATCAATCTAAAGTGAGAATGCTGTCTGCAGGGAAATTATACCCCCTCCCTCATCTGTGTGCCTCAAGAGGCAATTACCAAAGTACTCAAGCTATTATGAAAAGAAAGCAGAATACAGCTGAAGGATAGTTGCAAATTCAGGTAGTTTACTTTCAACAGAATGTGGAATTTGGCTATACAGTAGCATGGAATGTACCATATTGATTCATTCTACTTACTCTTGCTTTTATTCATTTTTTTGTATGACAAAAATTCATTAAAATGATCTATTACTCATCCTTTCATTGTCATCAATAATAAGAAAAGATGGCTTACAATTAATACCTGTTCAAGTTTGGCTTGAGGAGAGCTATAACTGATGGTTGGACAACTTTATTGTAATTGTGCTGAAGATTGATGATTATGGATCAAAGTTGTAGTACATTAATACAGAACTCATCTTTTAACTTTTAAATACTTCATAGTTTTACATTTTTAGTCATAGTTTATAGCTATACACAAATTTTTCTCAAAACCTCATACTGTATAATTCACCAAACAAGGTATTAGCTGTGGATATTTTACAAAGAAAAACAGAAAGTTGTTTTTTGAAGTGCATATCAGAAAAAGTAGAAGTTAAGGGCTATTAAAATAAACTAAGTGTTCATACATACAAAGTTGTTGGTACTCCTTGTTAGATAAAAAAAAAAACCCACAATGGTTACAAAAATAACTTAAATCTAAGAGAGTTATAATAAGTACAATGTATATGAAAATTTAAAAAGTACAGATATTGCTTTACAACAATGCTTAAAAAGTTAAATCAGTTACTGAGTTCAAATTTATGGGATGCGTCCTCCGAAGTCCAGATTTTTGGCCGATTACGTCCGTTCAGATTGCAAGACCCCTTGTTATGCAGCCGACAAAAGCATCCGTCTTTTTCTTAATTTTGACGGACTGGTCAATTTTATCCTGTGTAGCCTTGGATAACCCGTGATTCATTGGGAGTCCAAGCAAGCCGGTCTCTCTGTGCTGCCGAACAGTGGTGAATATTGGAAGTGCAGTTTAATGTGATACAATTATGTGAATAATTCTGTCTAAAATGTATTAAAATGTTTTTTTTTATGGTTATTGAGTCAGATATGTGGCAGTTAATGTGTGTTGAAATGTTTTTATCTGTCCCTATGTAAATGGGTTTGGCTGATATTTAAGGACAGATTCTAATCTATCTGCAGTGTTTGGGACTATAAATCTGATATGAGTCAGCTGTCGAAGCTACTCAAAAATGTTATTAACACCCAAAACAGCAGTGAGAAGTTCGGTATTCATTCTTTGTGTGTCAACTGTCATGGTTGCTAGTCGACAGAGCGTGCAGTGGCAAAAGCCACGGAAGGGTGGACCTGTTTGAATTTACAACCAAAACTCTTCTGATATCCTTATTTTCACAGACCTCAAAGGATCCAGTCCAGATAGACCGGGTCCTTGGAGGATGCAGCCTTTAAAATCGAACACACCCGAAGTGTGTCAATGAAGGAACATTACAGGAGTCTACACTTTTGTAATCAGTCAGTGGGCCTATGGGGCCAAAGCTGGTAACTCTGCTGTTTGGTGACATGGTGTGTACCACACTCAACATGGACTGAGAGAGAAGCGAAAAAAATTATGATCTTAGGAGATTAGAAAGAGAATGTTTGATACACATGCTAAAGGTAAAGGCTATAAGACCATCTCCAAGCAGCATGACGTTCTTGTGACTAC